TATTTGGTTATGTCCATATTTTTCTAAAGTGCTAAAGTAACCACCCCATTTAGCAAACCTACAAAAAATGGGGTACTGTTTTGAGTTATTACTCAACTATACAAGTTTGATGATGCCAGAGTGCATGGCACACTTGAGTGAAAATAATAAATAGCAATTATTGATAGAGATTTTCGTGACAATCAAACCCTATGGTCTTTCCAATTAAGTCTCTTTAGCTTTTATCTCTAGAATTCTTTCGCCCTAATCGTTGATAGAATTTGTTATGTTTATCTAGGTCACTTTTACGAGTCTGTTCAGTGTTTATAAGGATTGTGATATGTTTCGCATAACTTTTTTTTATGAGGAAAAATTGAGTTGAAAATTCACCACGAGGTTAGTAAACCTGAATCGGAGATGTTGGCAACAAGAAGGTTAGAAGACCATCCCTTCCTTGTTAGGGAAGATGCCAACCATCTTTCCTTTCTACGAAAACATGTCTTGCATAACTTGTATGCCTAAGTTTTCTACATGTTCATATGTTCGATTTTGTTTTGCATATGTTTAATTTGTTAGGGCAGATGTCAACTATCTCTCCTTTCTACTTAACGCTTGAATGCCTTATTACCAATATGTAGATATTAAGTTAACCACCATGACTTCACGAAGAAGAAGAAGAAGAAGAAGGCAAGTTAAATTAGACTCCACTTTACGTTTTCTTAGAGCTAAATCCTCGAACCTCATCATGTAAACTTATTTGCAGAGTAGTTATTACCATTTACCATGCAGTAATCTTAGGTACTAATGTACATATATCCCCTTAATCATCGTTCCCAAGTAATTAAGCGGTTGGTATGGTAATAATAATTCTTCATGACACACCCATTTGATCATGTTCGGTAAAAAGTAATAACATACCTAATTTATCCTTTCACAGTGCCACAAACGCAAGATACATACACTTAATTACAATTGAACTTCTTTCTTGAGTCTTAATAAATGAAATTTCCATGATTAATGATTCTTAAACAATATATTACGTACACGAATGATTCTCTAAAACGGCGGACAAAAGCATATTATTAGGCCAAATAATGATGATGAAGGGTTTAAAGGCAGAGCTTCATTTTTACAATTGGATGAACATGCATCTCTCAGTACAAAGTCGTTGATGAATAATGTCAAATTAATGATTTCAAACACCCACTAAAATAAATAAATAAATAAATAAATATCGATTAAAAAGAACACCCACTAAAACTAGATGGGTAATAGTTAGATTATTTATTAGGTCACAAAAAAGGATGTCCTAGGATGCTCTCATTCAAGTCCTAAATAATGGAGGATTCTGTAGATGATGAAGAATAAGGGGAGATGGTGATTGGTGACATGAAAATGGCCAAAGGAAAGGAAAGCTATTATTGGCATCAAACAATCAACCCAACTATGGGCAAGCTATTATTTGTCATTTTTTTTCTTCTTTATGATGAGCTATGATATTAGTTGGTATTTGTGCCTTGATCATTATGGTGACGGTGGATCGAACGAACAAAAACCAAGACAAAGTAGTATGAAATTATACTTTGATGATCAAGTCGGATGTAAGAACGTTAAAGACGTTGAGAAGAGAGTTTGTATGAGAGATCATGTGTTATCCTTTCAATAAATGCAAGCTTATTTTCGTAGGAAGAGCAAGTAGTCCAGCAGTCGAGTGATTCTTTTGGTAGAAGATCATTGGCTATATCAGCGGGATGCCTTAATGCTTTCGATTGTGACGGTTACTTTCCCGATACACTTAGTTATGATCATATTATTTTGGTGTCGTTTTAAACTTGCAACATATTTGGTTGAACTTTCCGTTGACCATATTAGGTGAGCAACAGGTGTTCTTAGGTTCCTAACATGTTTGACCTGAGGGGAAACAAACACGAACAACACTCAAACTCAAGCATCTTGAACTCGCAACGTAGTTATAGTACTAATAGTCTATAGTCCATTTGGTAGTTTTGATCATAAACATGCTATAGTTGATCAATGTAGATACTGTGCTAGCTAGTGCTAATATTAGGGCTCACCAAAGTAATAGAAAGCACGAAAAACCTTAAAGAATGCCGAAAGGACATATTCCATGAATATAAAGGAGCGAAAATTCATATTCTGATATATCCAAAGAAGAGCTTTTTCCTGAAGATTGAAAGAAAAGCACCAAAGCCAACCAAGCCAAGAAGGAAAAAAGAAAGAAAAAAAAGCAATTTTAATTATAAGAAACAATTAAAAGAGAGATATTCTGTAAATGGTGGGTTTGCTCTCAAGTACTTAGGCCTAATCATTGTTGTAAAGACAAATTTGATTGCTTACGATGGGGTATGCCTAATTGCCTGTGGGGAGCTTAATACCAAACTTTTGTATAGTGTCATGCTGATGTGAATATTGTCAATTAACAACCACATTACCTAATCCCAATTTCAGTATCATAGATCCGCTCTACTTTTATTTTTCAGTCTCCCTTATTATTCTTTCGTGGTTATAGTATCGGTTTTTTTTTTTTCTCTTTCCAATGTGATATATTGGACAAAAATATTATGAGACGGATATTTTGATACTCGAATTTGAGTAAGATCTATTATGTGTAAGTGACGATTCATAGTAGATATACATTCATTTATGTAAGGAGAGTCATCTTTAAAAATGGAAATTATAAAGGAAAAAATATATGTGTAACATGCTTGGTAAAAATATTCATTTGTGAACATAATCTTGTATCATTGAACTTGTTAACATCATCTAAGAAACAATCATAACTTCTCAATAAATTAATTTTAATCTCCACATATTATCTCTCATTATTTAAAGAAAAAAAATGTAAGTTTCCTTCATACATAATTGTCATTGCACAACATTAAATCAAAATCCTTTGAAATAAGGTCGATGATAGTGAATCGAGTGCTTAACTCAAAATTGAGCAAGCTACTTTGCTTCCCCTCATCCCCACTTTCCTAATAATGTACTTATATAATCAGTCAATACGTTAAACCTTCATGTTCTAAGAAGCATCGCATTCAAAGATAATCCTACGTAAAATATACACTGCAACTGGAAGCAGTGGCGGACCCAGAAAATTTTCATAGGGGTGTCCTCGTTTAAAAAATAAATTAAATAAAAATAATTCATAAAAATAAAATTGTAAATATAAAAAATACCTTACTCGTATAGGTTAAAAAAGTTCATGATATGTTTTTATATTCGGAAATAATTGTAGAATACACTTGGTGTCTATAGTGTTAAAAAATTGTCTCTATATACACTACTAGACAATCATTCACGAACTTATCGCATATTCGATTTGTAAACTTGTTCTTGATGTAACCCAAAGCTGAAAGACTCTTTCAACACTTGTCAATTGTCATACAATCATAAAATCAATACAAATTAAGGGTAGTTTGAAATTAGTTTAATTGTTAGATTTTTAAAATAATTAGAGATAGGGAATGTCATTTTACTCACATTGTTCAAAATCGAACAACAAATGAGTTTAGCTAAACGGAAATTAAGTTTATTAATAATAATAGTGTTCTAGATTTGAATTATCCAACCTACCACTTATATTCCTATACACAAATGACAGAAGGATAATCATTTTTTTCAAATTTAAGGGGTGTCCCTCACTATCAATTATATTTTTTTTGTCCATACGTAAATTACTACCGGAGGTTGGATAATCGTTTTCCCAAAATTTAGGGGTGTCCGGGGACACCCCTAAACCTCCCTGGGTCCGCCCCTGACTGGAAGTAAGAATAGATTACCTAGCTAGGGTTTCCTGAACCATTCAAACTAATTTCGAACTTTGCAGAAAAATATGATTGTTAGTCAAACAAGATAAGAGAAAGAAAGAGAGACAGGGAGCATATTAGGGAAAAGTTGCGATAAAGAGAACTGAAAAGAAAGCGATTAAGGGGGAAAATTTTAGGAAGAAGACGGGACTGGTGGCTAAAGCAAATGGCCCCCTCAATCCCACTAACTAAAACCCAATTCTTATCATTGGAAAAACAATGCTCGTGATAAGCAAATAGCCGTTTTAGACAAAAGAAAACAAAAGTTTAGGAGCCTGCTGCTGTCAACTTTTGACTGGCTGGTGCTAAGTGCTAACCTAGATGTCTTGTTTAAGAATCGTTTTGAGCTATAAGAGAAAAAAAAGGGAAGAATAGTAGTTCGTTGATCATGGTCACAAAATCATATGGTGTCTTTCGCTTTCTTTTTGGAATTGTGCACTTGTATAGTACACATCTAGCTAGGGTATTTATGGTCACAAAATCCCCTGCAATGTACACAATAAACACAACGGCTGGTGTTGTATTCAAACCAGCGATTGCGATCTAAAAATGGGTTGATTGAATACTTCATGCATCCTACATGTACAGGCGGTCATAGGCTCCTAATATGCCACACGCCCATACAAAAAACTGGATCCTCTACTTGTAGTTAAGAGATTGATGGTCTCCATATGCAAGAGCACAACGGGCATAGAACTAGTAAAATCAGGTTGAAGTAGTACAAGTGGAAGATCGCAACATTTATTTTTGTTGTGCAACTTGGATTTCAGTTGAGTAGAAGGAACTTACACCCATCTCCATGGATTAAGACAATTGCTTTTGACTTCAAATTACAATTTGTGAACCTTAACTCACATAACATAATATTCATCCATCGAGAGCATATTAGCAACGTGATTCATGACATGTTTAACTCCAACATACAAGTAATTCAAAGAGACCCAATTCTTAACTCATAGTGGCAAAGCGACCAACATACAACTGCATTTTACTGATTTGTTGCGTCGATTATGTTTTCTCTTTTAAAGTAATAATAATTGTATTTCAAAAATCTGCCAATATACTATAAAATAGGAGGTAACTAATTGAAAGTGGCACATGTAAAAACAGAAGGTAATTAATTCATTAACAATATGGAAATTTTCATACTATATTTTGTGAGGAGAATTTGTCAAGGTGATTAATAAAAACAAAAACACAATCTCCATAATTAATCAAATTAAAGCAGCATAAAGCAAAGAGAGACACACGGCTAATGGACTGCGGAAGAAAGCTTAAAGACTCTCTCTCTCTCTCTCTCCCTCTCTCTCTCTCTCTCTCTCTCTCTCTCTCTCTCACTCACTCTGTGAGTCTCTCTCTCCTCTGTCTCTGCATCAAAGCTTGAACAAGAGGAGGTAGAGGAAGAAATTCGCAGTATATATAGCCAGAGAAGAGAAACCCAAAAGGAAAAGGCAAAGCAAATTCACTAGATTCTTGTTTTCATCAAACGCTAATCCAATTCAGCCTCTCACTGCCTCACTCCCACAACCCACCAAAAAGAGGAAGCCACCGAGTGAAGCGAGTTTCTCTATGCCAAAGCTGCAGAGCTCGTTTCCTGAAGAAAAGAAAACAGAGCACCCATCAACCTCTGCTTTTCCTTCCAATCCCTCTTCTTCCTCTTTCCCCAGGCGCTTCTTTATTCTTTTCAGAGATCGTTCTTAGTACCACTCAAAATTTTCCTTACCAGGAAGAAAAAATGTGGAAATAGAAGAGTCTCCCCTGTTTTGGGTTTTTAAGCCGGAGCAAATATTTTGGGTTGGTGAGTGAACGATTAAATGCCATTAGTGGCGATCTCAACACTCTAAAGATTCTCTATTTTCACCGCTTTTGATATTTTGTTCTCAGGAAACAAACGACTGTAACCGTCGAGAGAGGGAGAAGGTGGATGAGAGTATTTGTTCTTTTGCGCTGGTTTTGATTTCCAGTCAAAGAGGGAGCAGAAGAAGAAAGAAATGAGACAGAGCATGGACAGAAAACGGCCGCTAAAAACTTGAAGAACGGTGGGAAAAGCTGATTTTCTGGGGAGTCTCACATTTGTCAAACAGTGGAATCCAACAACAGCAAAGAAAACAGAGTGCTCTGCCATTACTGAATATAAATTCCGTCCCCAACGCTTCACCAACTCCCCGTATCTCAGATCTCCAAAAGAAGGGTAGAATAGAGATTTAGAAAAATGTCGTCACAGAAGCAAGCCGAAGAAGCCATAGTCTCGAGCTTCGACGAAACGGTCCCTGTTTCTGCTGCCGCCGGTGACCATGTGGATGGAAAAGAAGCAGAGCAAGATGACGGCGGCGATCCTCGTCATCAATCCGAGTTTAGCCTCACCAGCATTTTCTGGCACGGCGGTTCTGTCTATGATGCCTGGTTCAGCTGTGCCTCTAACCAGGTCCTTCTCCATCACTAAAAGCTCTAATCTTTTTCTTCCTCATGGGTTGTGAAATCCTTATGCTCTGTTTTTTCTTAAAAAAAACTTGATTGTATCAGGTGGCGCAAGTGCTGTTGACTCTGCCATACTCCTTCTCCCAAATGGGGATGCTTTCAGGGATAATACTGCAGCTCTTCTATGGAATCATGGGCAGCTGGACTGCTTATCTGATCAGTGTTCTGTATGTTGAATACCGTACCAGAAAAGAGAAGGAGAATGTCAGCTTCAAGAACCATGTCATCCAGGTCAATTTGCCTTCTTCCCCTTTCCCCCACAAACTTTTCATAAAGTCATTTGGATAACAATTGAAGCTCAATCAAACACAATTTCATGATCTGATCTTGTGCTTGGAAGTTGTAACAGTGGTTCGAAGTACTGGATGGCTTACTGGGTCCGACTTGGAAAGCACTTGGCTTGGCCTTCAACTGCACTTTCCTCCTCTTCGGCTCTGTCATTCAGCTTATTGCCTGTGCAAGGTCAGGTTTTTATGATGATTATTAAAATTATGACGTTTACCCTCGTTCTTTTATGCCCAATTCTATAATGGGTTTGACTCAAATCTTTGTTTTCTTCGCATAATTTAATTAAACTCATGCTATGATTATCGTTACATTACAGCAACATATACTACATCAACGACAAGTTTGATAAGAGGACGTGGACTTACATATTTGGAGCCTGCTGTGCCACCACCGTTTTCATCCCTTCTTTCCACAACTACAGAATTTGGTCCTTCCTTGGCCTTGGAATGACCACTTACACCGCCTGGTATTTAACCATAGCAGCCCTAATTCACGGCCAGGTAAAAAAAAAAAAAAAATCAAAATTTACAGTTCACTGTATTTTTCTTTTTAACCAATTTTGGATATCATGACTCAAAACAATTCTGGTACTGAAACAGGATCCTGGCGTGATTCACTCTGGACCCAAGAAGCTGGATCTGTACTTCACAGGCGCCACCAACATATTGTACACATTTGGTGGCCATGCTGTTACAGTGTAAGTTACTAACTAGACTCTAAATTGATAACAAACCGTAACGAATCGAATGTAGCATACTGATTATAAGTCGTCACACACTCGTATAGGGAAATAATGCACGCGATGTGGAAGCCGCAGAAGTTCAAGTACATATATCTGCTCGCGACCCTCTACGTGTTCACCTTAACCCTGCCATCGGCATCAGCCATGTACTGGGCGTTCGGAGACCAACTGCTGACCCATTCCAACGCCTTCTCTCTCCTCCCTCGAACCGGCTGGCGCGACGCCGCGGTCATCCTAATGCTCATCCATCAGGTTAGCTATAGCTGACTAAAATCTGCCCTTCTAGGGCTCCATCATTACAAGTACACTCTTAAACCTTCGATTTGGCGATTTTGGGGGGGTTTTGTTTGTTGCAGTTCATAACGTTTGGGTTTGCCTGCACGCCGTTGTACTTCGTGTGGGAGAAAGTGGTGAGGATGCACGACACAAAGAGCATATTCAAGAGGGCACTCACGAGATTGCCCGTGGTGGTGCCGATATGGTTTTTGGCCATCGTGTTCCCCTTCTTTGGGCCCATCAACTCGGCCGTGGGTGCCCTGCTCGTCAGCTTCACTGTCTACATCATCCCTGCCATGGCTCATATGCTCACCTATCGATCCGCCTCGGCCCGTCTGGTAAGCGAATAAAAAATATCTATATGACACGAATAAATGAATGGGCCCATACAAGCCCATTTCAATCCTTTTTCTTCTTCTTCTTCTTCTCTTGACTCTTGGCCATTGCTGTCATCTTGTTTGTGTTTCCTTCCTCATAAATGAGAATAGGAGATGGATAGAAATGAGATGCCAAGAGGGCATTAGTTGAAAGATTGTGACATGTTGATAACTGTGGTAACAAGACTAGTTGTTGAGCCCATAATTTGGACTTACTTGTATGGTAGGGAAAAGGGTGGGGTATAAATTAAAAAAAATATGTTGTGATTGATATTAATAGATGTGTCTGGACATGGAAATTGTCCTTAGTTAACTAACAAGTGTTCCATAATCAATTTAGGGTTTATGGTTTACGTGTGAATAGTATTGTCGTTAATTGTATTACAGACAAAACAGAGGATTAGGATTTAGGAGGCCAATTAAGATTGGGGAGTTGATACAGTCTGACACTAATTTAGTTTAATGAGGACAAAGGAAAGTGGGTAGTTGGAACATCCTTTTCGTTTTTGGTCTATCTTGCTTGCTAGCTGCAAACTTAGCACACAGAAACCTTCCAAACCACATCTCACATCACCACTAATGAATTGATATGACATTCTAGCTAATAATCAATGATAATAAAAAAAAATCTTATTAAAAACGTATCTATATGTATTCAACAATTGACGCTTACCCATTAACATGTTAATCGAACCGTATATCGTAGTTTATTTTTGAATTGGAACCAGATTGTGATTTTTTGGTGGTTTGTGTGGGAAACAAACAATGTGCAGAATGCAGCAGAGAAGCCGCCGGTGTTTTTGAGGAGCTGGACGGCGATGTACATAGTGAACGCATTTGTGGTGGTGTGGGTTTTCGTGGTTGGATTTGGGCTGGGAGGATGGGCCAGCGTCACCAATTTCATCAGGCAAGTTGATACCTTTGGGCTGTTTGCTAAGTGCTACCAGTGCCCGCCGCCGGTTGCTGCCAAACATCATTAAAGCTGCCGCCGGTGACCATAGCATTTGTTAGAATTGTGTCTTTTTCTCTTTTTTATTGGAGTTGGAAGCTGTAGTAGGAAGTATATCCAATATTATTATATGTTATACAGATAGGGAGGGGCTATCAGTTTGTTTGACTCCGCTCTTCTCTGTATAAAATATGTTGTTTGTTTTTATCTTTTTTTGTCTCTGTCTCAGACAACTTCCTGTTATATGCATAAGAAAATGTGGTTGGATGGTGATGAGGTTTGTGAATGTGTTCTATGTCTGGTTGACAGAATGAGAGGAAATGGCAATGTTTGGAAATTGGCAGGAAAATTCTATATGTGATGCAATCAAGCACATTGATATCGGGTTATAAATGTATCGAATCAAATACTTATGAGTTTTTCTAAGTAATAAATAACGTGTTTACGTATTTTTTTGTTTACTTTTGTACTAGTATGAAGAAAATCGACGAACTGATAGAGGGTGAGGGAGAGAAAATTCAAACAGATAGTGGGTGGGAAGAGTAGACAACCCAAATTTTAGTGCATGTGGAAACACATGAATCCAAGGTCATCTTCTTTTGACAAAAAATGGATCCCTACACACTACAATACTAAGAGGATCCTGAGTGGTTGTGGATTGAAGATCTTGTTGTTGGTTATACCTTTCATCAGTACACATTATTATCACATATATGCTTCTCACATGGCTGGCTGGATGGCTTTATCTCCTGCTGCTGATTTAAAGGAAAGGAAAAGCATTATTCAAGCTGTGTTAGGTGCTTGTAGCTATCAAATTTGGCTTTGCTTTTGCTTTCTCTGGTTTCATAATCTCAGTGGCTTTCTGAGATTCAATGTTTGTTAATTGTCTCTTTTGTTTATAGGATCTGGAGTTTTGGTCAATGGAGTGGGGTATTGAGATCTAGCAGCTTGGGGAAAAAAACAACAAAGCAATCTTTGTGGAAGAAAAATGGTCTTGTTTGCTGTACTCCAGAATTCGTTAATGCTTTGGTGGTTGTTCTGTCGGGGTGGGTTTGGACTTCGGATAATAACCTAGCAAGAAGGAAATGGGTTTAGGGCTATACTTGCTTTGGGCTTGGAAACTGGGCCAAGAGAGTTTTGGGGAACCCATTTGGTATGGGTTTAGAGTTCCTTAGAAAGGTCCATAGACTTACGATAGTAGAGCACCTACCCAGCTGTGTTTAATAATTTAATTAATCTTAATCCAATTCCCTAAGATGATCTTCAAAGGTCAAAAGTCAAAACCAATGTGGTGACTTGGTGTAGTTCACCCCATTTCTCTCTAATCCAAAACTAACCATGCTAATGAGCCCGCTTTGACTTGTCTTTGACTTGACGCCATGACACGGTCTTGACATGATTTGATGATTTCAACCTGATCCTGGGGGAGCTCTCTCTGTTATTTACTCCTACCGCTACTGACCCAGATAGGAAAAGCATTGGTCAAAACTCAAAAGCCTCAACTATGCGGGCGACGGCAGGCGAGAGCACAGTGGCTGATTCTACTTCCTAGAGAGTTCGTCTTCTACTCTTCCCGTTTTATCGATCAGGGTTTTGTCATTTTGTGATTCCCCGGAGGAGGTGGAGAAAGGACAAAAACGTGGGGATTCTTCGTCTTCTGCGTTTCTGCAGGCGACAATGGCGCCCAGAGGACGGCCGAAGAAAAAGAAGGTGGACCTTGCACTGATTCTTTCTATCCTCGACTCCATTCACCCAAACTTCTTTCTCTGTTGAAATCCCATTTTGGGTAAGTTTCCTTCTTTCTGATCCATGGCTTTCTCTCTCCTATTTCTGTTCCCTTACTTGGTTCAGGTGGTTCTGACGAGGAAGGGCGCCGCCGTTGATGCAATGCTGGCGATGGGCTTCCCCCGTAAACTGATCAACCAAACCATCGCCGAGCTCTTGAAAGTGAGTGTCCGAAGTACAGTCATTTTCGTTCTCTAAATTGTGAGCTCGTTTAGACGAATTCATGGTTTTTTTGGTCCAGGTTTATGGCGGCAATGAAGGTTGGTCATTTATCGAGATGGATTCCTACAAAGCCCTCATTGAAGCCATTCTGGAGAAGGACGTCCCAAAGGTAAAACCTATGATCCTTTCCCTTGTCTTATTACCAGAAAGTTGGATAGATGTTCTATAGCTACTTGAAATTGAAAAACCCTTATCGAATTTCATCACTGCACAATTTCAGATTTCCATTGCTTTCTTACCTGTCCTGTTGTTGTACCTCAATGAAACAACTCAAGGGTTTAGAGCTAGATGCCAGCCATGTTCTCTAAACGATGATTGCTTGCTCTGTCTTTGTTTCAATGGCTTGTAACATGCTTGGATGAACTCAAAGCCTGTGAGCAACTGGGCATTATGCATTTGGTTATGAACTTGAGCTGAAACTTACAATATGGTGAAGTCTTCTTCCAAGAAATGAATGTTGGTTGGAGTATTGGTTGAATTGGTTTCTCCTCTCATGTGCTTCTTGTTGGTGAAGGCGGAGCGCTCACAGGATTATGACTTAGGTGGGAACAGCCAGAGGTTCTCTGAAGCTGAGTCCTCAAATGTTCCACCACCACCTATTGATGAAGAGGTTGCTGCACCTTTACCACCACCTGGTGATGCTCTAGAGAGTGGGTCGCAGACCGAGACAGTTTTGACCCCTCCGTTTGCCGTTTCTGAATCCGGTAATAAACATTTTGCTTACTTGAGGATATGCAGAATTGCCTGGTTTCCTGTTATCAAGTAAATCACCCTGCTGAGGATTGATCCGCCAAATCCCTCTCCTTGGCAGAATGCAATGTCTTCACATCCCCAGCTGAAGAAAAGGAAGAAGTTGCTGCTGCTGCTGCTGCTGGCCCTCTGGACCAGGTTGCTAAACTAAGCAACTCCATGGTTCCATGCTCTGATGAAAATCCTTGTCCAACTCTCTCCTTGGTAGAATACAATGCTTTCACATCCCCAGCTGAGGGATGCGAAGTTGCTGGCCCACCGGACCCAGATCACAACCTTAACGACTCCATAGCTCCATGCTTTGATGAACATCCAGCTCTGACTCTCTCCTCGCCAGAATGCAAGGTCCTCACATCCACAGCTGAAGAGAATGAAGTTCCTGGCCCACCGGACCCAGATCCCAACTCCATGGTTCCATGCTTTGATGAACATCCGGTTCCAGTTCTATCTTCCATGAGTGATAAGCATAGGCCGCCTTGCCATGGCTGGAGGAAGCGTCCTTGTTATGACGAGCCAACAGAACTCGCGGAGCTTGAGCCATCACCATTGCCAGAGAAATTGTTGAAGTTGTTGGGAGACATCCGTAGGTCACCTAAGAGACTGTGGGATGTTTGACTAAAGAGCTAGAAACGGTTGTGAAATTTGCTGGAGAATACAAGGTCGGTTTTCCTTTTCTGTGGGGATGCTAAGGTTATGTAATAGTTTGGAAGTTTTCTGTAAGGCATGTTTGTCGATCTGTTGGCTGGATTTGGAACTTGGAAGACGACTTTAAGGAAGAAATGTAGTATGTTTATAGTGGTGGAGGGAAGCTGTTGGCAGTAAACTGATCTTAACTTATTTCAAGACAAAGTATCAAATCGTTTATTGTGTACAATTTTATTGTTGGGTAGTTAATGAAATGTGTCCATATAGATGGCATGGAGATGAGGGTACGAATTCATTTTTAATGATGTGAGTTGGAACTTTTACAAATCTCGTTAAAACTATTATTTAACTTTTAAGCCTATTACTCAGCCTTCTAAAGGTTGTGCATATTAGCAGTGGCGGATCCAGAAATTTTTTGTAGGGGTGTTCTCTTCCAAAAATTGAATTAAATTAATAATTAAATTAAATAATACATAAATAATAAAATATTCAATTAGTATAAATGTTGACAAAAAGTCACGATGTATTTTCATATTTCGAAAATAATATAAGATAGATTTGACGTGTACACTGCTCAACAAACGGTATATCCTACTAGATCGCATATTCAATTTCTAACCTTGTTCATGATGTAATTCAAAGTTGAAAAGACTGTTTCAACACTTGCAGTGTTACCATAAAATCAAGTCAAATTAGGGTACCCCTGGGGATAAGAAATCGCGTTTTCACCATTACATAGTGTTTAAAATAGAACAACAAATGAGTTATAACCTAATGGAGAAGATGTTAAATAATAGTAGTGTCCTAGATTTGAATAACACAGAGTACCACTTATATTTTTTTAATCACGCAAACTACTATCGAGGGTAAGATAATCATTTATTAAAATTTTAGAGGTGTCCCAGATTACTAATTATATTTTGTTTATCCATACGAAACTACTACCGGGGGTTGAATAATCGTGTTCCCAAAATTTAGGGGTGTCCCGGGACACCCCTAAAGCATCATGTATCCGCCACTGCATATTAGTTCCTATTTAAATTAATAACAAAATTAAAAAAATATTTATTCATAAAAAAATATTGAAAATGATTTTTATTCATGTACTTTAGATTCCATTACTTACATTTCATTTTATTAACAAGCATCCAACCGATGCAATGTATAAAGTTGAGTCCAATTTCATAGATTATATATCATGAATGATAGATAATACGTATTAAACTAAACTACTCTTCACATGTGAGCTTACATTTTTCCCCCTTCATAACGCCACTCTAATTGATCTGTGGTGACTATATAAGTATGAACCCTTGTTGCTGTATAAACCTACTTTTTTTCTTTTGCCATAGACGGCATAAACGTACTTTTTTTTCGGGTATAAATAAACGTACTTATCTCTAGTATTATTGTCTGCAAAAAGGGCAGGGGATTTCTAATTTGTAACGCGCTTTATTGAACACGCGGCTAAATGTAAGTGGATTATTAAGTAGATACCTCGCTCGAAAGACTGCAAATATCATTAGGCGGGGTCTTAAAGCAACGGACGAATGAACGGATAACATAATTCCATTTGGATTTTCTTCTCCGCCAGCTCCCCCACCTGAGAAATCTCTAGATAAGCCGCCGCCGGTAGAAATTGGAATCCCCAAATCTTCACCATTCTGAACTGCAAACTAGCTCCCGATTTTGAGGAATTTGTATGGAGAGCTAGGGTTTCGCTTCGGCTAATTAAAGAAAGGAGTCCTGTTCTTTTCTTCCGCAGCTAGAGAAATGAACACTTGAGCGATTTTCCGCGGCGATTGTGGTCCAAACATGCTGTACTCGCCGGCGATTTGCAGCTCTTGTTTATGCGACCTCCGCTCTCTCCTGCCGCTGGGTAGGATGGTATCGGTCGGTAGATTTCAAGGTTTGCCTGGTTCCAAAGTAAGTCCAAAACTTCAGCTCCATTTTGCCTTCTCGATCGGAATGAATCAATTCCCGTTTCCGACTTTCCGTTCAGTAATCAGATACTTCTTTGTATTGAGTTTAGGCTGTAAGAGACGAGAAGAAGGATAGTACGTAGTAGAGCGACTGGAGACGCAGACTGAACCTGAAAACAATGACGATATGAGGTATAATGGTTCAGCTGATAATTCGCATTTGCTCCTTAGTGGAATCCCAGATATTGTTGAATCCGAGTCTATCATGTATCTTCAGGAAAAATGATCCACTTGCAGGAAGCGAGGGAGGCATTATCTGGCGTCAATTCACCCGCTGAACAAGATCCCCCACCTGATTCTCAGCTTACAGTGCTGAATCAAATGGACAGTGTCAATGGGGAAACCAAAGCTGAAGGTGGAACCGTGGTACTTAATTTATCTGTATTCTGCATTCAACCGTTGCAATTGCTAACTTGCAGTTGCATGTTTGTGGAAGCAAATGGGGTTCCTCCATCAATCTGCTTGAAATTAACCCATATTTGTGCTTAAACTGTATACATTGTCCTTCTGATTATCATTTTTACATTTGCAACTGTAATTCAACAAATAAACAGACGAATCAGTATAAGGAATTGGCTTTGCATATGTTAATTTTATCATAGCAACATTTTCTCATTGTAAGAAGTTATTATTTGGACAGGTAGTCGAGGATGTGGAAATTGCTTCAGCAGGATCCCCTCTTCCAGACTTGAAAGTAAGCAAGCATAGGAAGTGTTTTCATTTCTTGCCCTGTTGGATGAATTTTCTTTGGAAGGTTAACTCACCAATCTTACTCAACAGCTGGATGAGTCATTCAGGATTCCAAAGGAAACCGTTGACATACTTAAGGATCAAGTGTTTGGTTTTGACACTTTCTTTGTCACAAGTCAGGAACCCTATGAGGTTAGTCAATGATGTCTATTTGATTTATTTTCAAGTACCATTTATGAATTTCACGTTCAAAATACCAGTTGTGTTTCTGTTTGATGCCAATGTATTCTTCTACTTTAAGGTGCCATAGGAATATGACATATTAATTCATCTGGTTAACTGCCTGGTACCGGTTAGTATGGTGGTTAATCGGTTAGTATGATGGGTAATCGAGATTGATATTCTGATTACTGATTTATGGTTATCTGATTAACTAAATTTTCCGATTCAATTTTTGGTTAACCTGCAATCGATTATAAACAACCCCAGTGAATATAAACTCTCCAGTTGGATTTTTAACTAGTTGTATTTGCAGTCATCAAAACGACATCATTTTGTGTTTAACTAATTGTTGCGAACAATATGGGCTGAGTAGGAAGCTGCAGTTGCCTTGCGTACACTATTTCTATTGGGCCTTTTTGTTGGCCACCAAAAAGAATTGCGGGCTCAAAAACATCAACGAGGCCCAATAAATATTTGTTTCTCGACGGGCCTCGAAAACCCACATCATAACCATGGTAAAGGAAACCGTACCGGAACCGGATTCCTTTCTGATATGGTATTTTGTGGTACGACCGTGGTTCAACCATTTTGTACCGGTAAATATCGTTTTTCACTATTGATAGAGAAATGAAATGCGATACTATAAAAAATATAATCCATCAAAAAAAGAACCAAATAGAGCATTATACAACCACGGTGACCCATTTTCAACATAGAAAAATAGCAAAATAATATTCTTTTTAATTATTTTCCACATATTGGACGAGAATACGGAGAAATGAAGCTGAATCATAGACCAGGAAACCGGATCATACCGGCCGGTTCAACCGGTTCAACCGGTCAAACCGAAAAACCGGCCGGCAAGATAAAATCAGCACAATAAGCCCACCGTACCGCTTCTGGTCCAATTTCCGGTTGAACCGGTTGAACCGGCCGGCACGATCCGGTTTCCTGGTCTATGATCATAACCCGATCTCCCGTCTTCCCGAACTCGCACACTCACCCCCTCCTATTCTCTCTCCTCATTCCCGCTCAATTTCCTGGCAGCGACGCCGACGTCATCATCCGGCATCGCCGGCATTAAAGCACACACTGAAAAGCACACTCTCGACTGCGCATAACAGAATCGCAGCCGCCACAACAAACTTCCCCGTTCTAGAATTCCCCCCCAATTTCTCACTCTTCGCAAAGATTCAGAGTCAAGAACCGCCATGGATGCTCTGCTGAAGCTTTCCGTCCTCCTCCTCCTCTGTCTTTCGCCAGTCCTCTCCGCTCCAAGCAACCCATCCGCCGCCATCATCGGCATTTCTCATCTCGACTCGGCGCCATCCTCCTCAATTGGCGGCAACTGTTCACTGCCGACTCCCCAGCCGCAGAGCGCACACTCAGAGACCATAGCTTCCGCCGTCTCCGACCTCCGATTCGGCGCCGTCCGCCTCCAGGATCTTGATCCCAACCTCATCAAAGCCTTCGACTTCACCAACACCTCCCTGCTTCTGTCAATTCCAGACGGCCTCCTCGCTCCGCTGGGTTCCAATCGCACTCTGGCTCGCGTCCACGTTCTCCCTTTCTACCCACGCTTCAAGAACGCCACAATCTCCGTCGGCGAGGACGAATTTTCCCTGTCCAAGCTCTCATCGCTGCTTCCCGCCACACGCAACGCCCTCCGAGACAACGGAATGAGGTCCATCTCTGTCTCCACGACCTTTTCCTTCGTCTGCGTCCTTAAGACGGCGTTTCCTCGTCCGGCGGCGTCTTTCCAGGAGACAATCGGCGAAGCGGCTATCCGACCACTGCTCCAGTTCCTCCAAGGCACCAATCCTACCTTCTTGCGCAATCTTTACCAGTACAACCAAAACGGGTTGGCTCTGTTTCAAGAAGGGGCTTTTAGCTTCCGCGACGATTTCGCCACTGGAGTCCGGTACGGCAATTTGACGGAGGATGCTGTCCTTACTTCCTTCGCTGTTTCCGGTGATGAAGACATCCCCTTGGTCGTCGCTGACCCTAATCCGGCGTACTTGAAGACGTTGGTCGGACAATTGATCTCCAGCAACGGAACGCCGCCAAGGAAAGAAGCTGTGGCGCAGGCCTACATCGACGAGCTGGTTGAAGCCGATCCCAAGCAGCAGCTGCATCACCTTGAAGTTTCCTTCGCACCAAAGAACTGGGCTTGGGGAATTGTCTTTGTCATGCTGTTCTTCTGGGTTCTTGTTATGGACACCCCAGACGAATCAGAAGCTTGGGTGAGGGTGCTTCTCGGTACCCTAATTTGCGTGGCGGGCTTCGGTGTGTCCCTTCTGAAATTGATTAGAGTTGACAACGTTCGTAGAATGGTGTATGTTGTGATGTTGGGTCTGCTTCACTATCTAATGTCAAAGTGGGTAACTCTTCTCCCCTTACAGATCATCATCACGGGTATACTAGCTTCGATTGGATTTTTTTCGTGGATGTTTGGGAGGGGAGGCCGCTTTCAGAACAACACCTTCCTCTACTGCATTTTAATTGGTTTGGTGATGATCGCACTTTCCATCCTAGCAATGTGTCTTGTTACCAAACTTTTACCAGTTGTAATCTGGTCTTTGTATTTCTGAGAGATCTAGGTATGACGTGGGACATAGAATTGAGACAGATTTGGTGATCTTCCGGGTCTTTTAGTGGATTGATCTGGGAATAGAATAGTGGTTTCGCTTGATTCCAATTTTGATTCAACTGTTCATAGGGTTCTAGATGGAATCAGATTGAGGAATTCGCACCTGTAACTACAGTTTTGTAATGATGACTAATAATGACGATTCGCTCACCTGAATTGGTTTCTTTCTTCTGAATTCCGAATTCTCATTTGCAGATAATTAGAATACCTATCTAGTTAACAGAGCTAGCTCTCGGTTAATTTGGTGATTTGAGATGCCTGTTAATGAGGTTCTGTATTCTGATTAACGAAGAGGATTTTTTGGCTGAATTCTTCGAGTGGAACGTTTAAAACTATGGATTCTACATAGATCAAACAGTATTTGGAATTAGGAAGTGCAGAATCATAGGATTCTAAGGGTTAGTGTGAGAGCTTATTTAGAGGTTATGTATTCTGATCAATGAAGAGGATTTTTTGGCCGAATTCTTCGCAAAGGATGGCTGTTCTAACCAAATATCATTAACTAGATCCTCCACGTATTTCATATTGACAAAAAGCTGCATTGGAAAATCTGGTGCAAACTAGCTACCACTAGAATGATGATATGGAACCCTGAGGCTGGCTCGTTTTGGGCAACTGATGCAGATTGGAGAACTATTTGAGGGTATGTTTAGTATTATTGTTAGTATTTGGTTGCTGTTTTGAGTTGCTTAGGTAGTGAGTACTTCTCTGTTGAATGTCTGTAGGAGCACCTTGAAGCTGGGGTATTTCAATTCAAAACGCTTCAGCACCATGACAAGCTAGAAATCATTTTTGCTTTCATGAGCCTGGAAGCTCTGTCACTAGAATGTCCATATGATGGGAAAACCAACAGTCTCCTTCAAGATGCTGCTGTCAGTGGAATTGGTTGTTACTACAGTGATGGAAGGGCAACTGCGGTAAGTGAACAGAGCATGTCTGGCAGTAGCTCGGTTAGATTGATGAAGCCACATTTTTCCTGCACTTCTTCGGAAGAATCCCAGAAAATTTTCATCGATCTGTGTTTGGACTTCGTAGCAAATTCCGGTTGAGAATGAACGTGGATCTCATTTGTCCAAGGAGGGATGGATGAACCTTATGGATTCATTCCACAGAAGGATGGCTGTCATGGTAAACATGGTCCAGTACAAGAACCATTGTGATTCCTTGAAGTGGCAATGGAGGATTTGGTCTAAGCTGGTTGCCACTAGTGACATGAAATGGGATCTAGTTGCCGGTAAATTTGGTGTCACTGAAAGGGAATGGAATAACTACATCCATGTAGGTATAATATAGCATCAATGGTTGTTCAGTTGTACGTCCCTGATTTATAATAATATTATCATTGCTTACCCTCTCTTGTAGAAATACTTAGAAGCTGACTAGTTTTATGTGCTTGTGCATCCAGGAAACACTGTGCTTGATCCATCTCAGAAATATTTCATCAAGGTTAGTGGTTCTCCTATTACTACTCCATTAGTTTTAATCTTATTTCTTATGTAAAATGGGACTTGATGTGATTCTGTTATACTGCAGGTGCCTTAACATTCCCTCCAAGATTAACAGGGTACAGTTAAAATCATCACCCCTATGGAGCTGATTGGGAAGGGGGACAAGTTCGGTTCTTCTGACGCTGCCTTGCTTCCTATCTTTTTGTATCAGACCATTCTCCTACTGGCTTGTGGTCCACTCTGCTAATGATGATGGGGCAGTCTTCTGCCCTGAAGTTGTCGATCTTACAGAGGATGATCTCGTAGGAAAGTTTACCTTAGGTATCTCCATGGCCACTGCTCTGTCACTCGCCATTGCAAACCCGACACTGGCTGTTGCACCAAACATGTTCGCCTCAGGGAGAGCAAGTGAAGGAGTACTTGAAGGTTTGATGCCCTTCTGAAAACCCGCTGATCGAATGATATTGATTTCCTTGTGACTTGTTTTGGTGGTTAATTAATTTGAACGTTTTTTTGTTATGCAGGATCCTAACAAGTTTGTTGTTTCTAGAAGTAAAGTGGTAAGTTGAGTTTCATGTTTCAAACTCGAACAAGACAGGTAGGTCGTATTATGTGCTTTGAAAGATTAACATAATTTCCTTATGGATTCTTTCCTTTTTTTTTTACTTATGATTTTACAGTAGTTACTTTCTTCTTGCTTTTGTCGTGTGTCCATGGTTTTCATTAACCATGTTTATCTCATGATATGCTGGTATCAAGTTTTATGACAAACATTAAGGAAGTTATCTTATGTGATTTTTGTTCGTGATGTTTCTTCCCCTCACCTATACTTAGCCGAGTTGCATTGGAAGTTATCTTATGTGATGGTTGTTTCATGTTTGGGATTCTCCAGGCATGGTATTAATCCCCAAACATTAACGAAGCTAGTTCTTTGAATGCTTGGAGGGTGGATTTCTGGATCTGCTCGTTGGGGTAAGTTGGTGATCTGTTATGCAAAAAGTGTCGAGTCTCCTTCCATGTTACTAGACTCTGAGTTTGGCTTCAGGTTTCTGTTGGTCCATCACCTTCTAATTTCCTCCTATTTTCTCTGTTTAGAAGTGCTCTTCCATGACCAAGGACAGGCCTCTGTCGTGGGTTTCCTCTGTAAATATCTTCAAGAACTAATACCATCAGGTAGTTTTGCATACCAAGGGTTTCCATCCATTATCCTTTTCTTCTCCTGAATTAGCTGATTATTAGTAAAGGCAGTCTTTTCTTCAATATACTACATATACGGTTGGCTCATCTTTTCAATGGTACGACCATTTAGAACCAGTAAAAAGTCACGGAACACAAGTTTTGATTAGGTCGTTCTTTGATTAGTTCATGAGAAAATTGAGATAAGCTTTATAAACTCTAACTTCATCCTATGTTTTGATTTTGATGCTTTTATTGTATTCCATAAAGGAATGGTTGATCCATCACCAAGAAATGAATCCTTTCATTCAAGCATTAATCTTGAAGCTGATGTGATGCTTGGTTATTAGACGAACAGAAAGGTCAGTAAGCTTTCACATTTTTAGGCTGGTTGGATGATCACTTATCCATTTTGGTCCTTCTTGGTTTGCCAAAACTGCTTCCCCTTCTTGAGTTCTCATTTAATATCATCTAGCAATAGATGAACCACTTTCCAAACAACTCTTTCACAGAGAGCCCCGTTTTTGCTAGTATCCCTCTTTGGCTTGACGACTAGAAAGGAATGGATTTCTCACGAATCTTTGGTATGATTTTTGTGTATGGTTCTAGGAGCTCGCTCGCTCGCCAGTGAATTTGCCGAGCTGAGGTTCGGTAACACTGTATCTTGAACAAGCTTTGGACTACTGCACCAGCAAAGGAGGGGCTACTTACCATGATCTCAATGGGTATAGTTTCTTATTTGATAACGCTAACCTTGAATGTGCCCAGTTTCAAATGTTTCGCTTCCACCTTTTTCCCCCCTTCTTTCTCAGTTAATATCACTTTGTTTGGATGGAGGTTGGGATGTGAATTGGAAGCTCTCTTGCTTTGACCTGATGGAGTGTTGGAGAAATGGCGAGATGAAACAGTTGCAACATCAATCTTGCAGTTTCTCCACCAGTCCTGACTCCTGAGGTGAGCACTTGCTTTCTAGATGCAACTAAACCTTTTTCCTCCGTGAATGGTTGGATTCCTGCCTCCGCCCAGCTGAGAGTGTGTGCTACTTCATTTTGTGCATTCTGCAGGGGTTTGATTCAGATGTTTCATCGACGACATTGAGGGACCTGGTCCTGTCATGCATTTTGGTGGCAAGCTTGTTTCATTTTTTTTTTTTTTTTTTTACAGTAAGCTTGTTTCATTTTTAATGTCTCCGTTTGGTGGCAGAAAATACTCACTTATCCGAGTAGCGATCAGCTATTGACTGTCGCATATGCTTATTTTACATGCTGCAATCATCCTGCAATGCAAGAGTTCCTTTGCGTTTCTTCCTCTAGCAAACTTCGTTAGTTGATTACGGGCTTAAGTTAGGGCAAGGCCCAATCACAGGCGCAGAAGATAGATAAAAGAGGTTCTGTGCTAAGAAAATAGAAAATGCAGGCTTCAGCTTTTGTTGAACCCGTCAACCCAAACAATCCAGAGAATATCCGATGGTTCAGAAAACATTAAGGGCTTTTTTGTAACTAGTTTAATGAAAATAATTTGAAAATAAAAAATAAATGCATGAGCGATTATTTTGCACAGTGATTGGTGGGATGCGTTTCCACTTAGTACTAACCATAATCACTTGCGTCTCATTCCCTACCATTTCGGGATTCTTCATCAGCAAAAGCAACGACAAGTCTGATAGCTGCACATCTCCGGTAATACCTTATCGCTGCTGCTGAGATAATGAACGGCTAAATGAGCAATGATGTCGTCGTTTTCGACATGGAGGAGCGCTCATCGAAGTGTTGCTTGAAAACTGCAAAAGGACAAACAACGTCAACGTGGAGAACAACGACGATTGTGAACCGCATATAGTAGTTGAAGACGATGACAGGGAGAATGTCGGTCGGCACTAACAATCTCGGTGGGTTAACTAGTAACGTTAGAGCTTCCGTTGAACTGGAATTATTTTTTTAAAATGGTACAACTGATGCCAAGACAGAATGGTACCAGTACTTAACTAGTGGTAGTACATTATTAGCGGTAGACATGTAATGGTATATGCCTAGTGATAGCAATATAGTGGTAGATGCCTAGTGGTACAAATCTAGTGGTAGTACATTTTCAGTGCAACATGTACTTTTATAACTGTGGGAAAAGATAGAGTTAACTTTGCTCATTTTTAAAGATAATACGTTATTCTGATGAGGTTGTGTTATCTTTGATCAGTTGTTGTCTTCTTTTACAAAAATTATTGGTACAAGTAGGGCTGGGCATGCGGGCGGATCATTCGCGGGTTTGGGCCGACCCACCCGCATTTGACCCGAATTTTGTTAAGTGGGTGGGTGACGGGTTGCGCTGGGAGCCATCCGCCGGGTGGTGGGTGGGTTGTGGGTGAGTGTGCGGGTGACCCACTCAACCCAACAGCATAAAGATCAATGTCGTTGGCGCTAGAGAGAGGAGAGTGGAGACGTTAGATATAAACTCGGACTGCTCTTGGAGTTTGAACCTCAAAGCCAACCTTCCAAATAGAGATCCCCTCTTCTTCCCTTTACTTTTTCCTCTAATTCTTGTGCCTAGATCACCGCTCTTTCCTTTGTGAAATTATTTTCCTTAGTTCTTTGCACCTAATAATCGTCTCAATCTGTAGAAAACTCTTTCATAATAGAATTTCTATCCAATTTAAAAACTAATTCGGCATTTTTCGCCCTATTTCAACTACTTGTTTCCCTCGATGATTATCTTCACCTATTATCATGTCAAGTTGACTCCTATATATTATATACATTGTGATGTGGGTGAACCCACAAACCCACCCGCATCATCCACCATCCGCCCGACCCAACCCGAGAGTAATGTGGGTGGGTGGTGGGTTAAAAATTATCAATCCGTTTAAGCGCGGGTGGGTGCATTTTATGGTCAAAATCCACCCGACCCACCCAATGCCCACCCCTAGGTACAAGTACCTTTGTTGTTACCGGTACAAATACCACGTCTAGTTACTGGTACATGGACTACTACTACTTACAGGACGTCAAGGGAATTCGTACCCGTTGAACTTCATATTCAATTTTGCTTCTATGTAATGTGGTGCAAACCTCAGATTCAATTTTGCTTCTTATAGGGATATGAGTACCACTATGAGTAGGGATGGCAATTTACCCACCCATGGGTAATTTGGCCCAAACCCAAGTAGACCCATTTATTATGGGTAGGGTTTGGGTGATGTATGTATGGGTTTGGGGTTTGTATATGGGTTTGGGTTAGATATGGATATTATCTAAATGGGTATGGGTTGGATATGGATATCCATTTACTTGAGGGTGTTTTAACTACACATGCAAAAATTGGACTTATTTGTAAAACTTGAAAATTTTAGGTACCAAAATGTAAGACCAAAAACATTTAGGTACCAAAACGTAATTTTCCATCGATATTTTGAGGACTTATATGCAAAAAAAAATTTAAATTTAGGTACTAAATATGCATATCTATTAAGTTTAGGTACCAAACTGTAATTTGTATTTGGGCATGGGTACAAACCCAAATCCATTTGTTATAAACCCAACCCAACCCAAAGTAAATGGGTATGAGTACAAACCCATCAAACTTTACCCATATCCATATATTTGGATTTCATATCCAATTCAATTGGGTTGGATAGTAAAATATACCCATGGGTATGGGTAAAATTGCCTTCCCTAACTATGAGGTACTCGTACAAGTACCACTACTACTTACTGGTACGAGTACCAATGGTACGAAATGAGAAATGCAATATCAAATTTACCCTCCTTATTCCCATTCACCCTGCCTCTGTTTCACTCTAATGTCACCTCTTTCGTCGCGTTCTCATCCATTAGTACTAGGGGTGGGCAAACGGTTCGGTAAACCCGAACCGAACCGAACCGAAACCGAATTAAACCGAACCGAAACCGAATTAATGCTATTCGGTTCGGAATTCGGAAGAAAAATATGGATAGTTCGGAAACCAGGGTTCTCTCAACCGAACCGAATTTCCGAATTTCCGACCGAAAAACCGAAATACTATAATTGCAAGCTCCAAATGGTGGATTTTTATGTTTGTAGTTGTTTTTAGACTTAAATATTTGAAATGTTTTATGACTTATGTATTGAAAAGTTTGATTTTATCATTGATGATGCATATAATTACATATTTATTGTTTATATTTGGGTTAAAAATGATTTAAAAGTGAGAAGATACAAGTACTTTAACAAATTCGGTTTTGGGTGAAAAACCGAACCGAACCGAATTATAATTCGGTTTAAACCGACCGAACCAAATTATAATTCGGTTCGAATTCGGTTTGAGGTTTGGGAGAATTCGGGGACCCGGTATTCATAATTTCGGTTCGGTCGAAACCGAACCGACCGAATGCCCACCCCTAATTAGTACTTATTGCAAACTGGACAATCCAGCCAAATGCTCCGACAGTTTGATCTCTCAAACCTTATTGCTTCCCAAGTCGAACGCCATCATGCTAAGGTCTCGAAATTCGGTCAGCTTCCCGTACGACCTACTCGACACAGAAAGCCACTTTGTTGAGAAAAGCAATTTCGAAATCACACGGTGGAGTGGGATTTACAAAATCTTCCACAAAGATGACGATGGCAGTGAATGAGAGGTGAGTTTCGCAATCTTATAGTCTCGGATTGACAAATCTAACCCGAGCGCTTGGACGAAATTGGATATCCACTTGATATCGAAGGCCGATGAATATAGAGCTAACCTTTATATATGGATTGTTAATATCATGCTACATCCTTATTAACAGTAGGGGTGTACATTGGTCGTTTCGGTCCAAAATCGGATCAAATTGAGATAGGACACGATCAAAAATAAAGGAAAAATGAGGATCATAGTTTGATTTCGTCCGGTCCAAATTCAATTTCGACTCAATATTTCTTCATACTTAAAATAACTCATAGGAACAAAACCGAATCGAAATATTTATGATCCGATTCGGTCCAAATATCGATTTGGTACGATTCAGTACAGTGTGAACATGATCGTTGCCCACCCGGTTTAATTTAACAACATACTAATCTAATAATCCAAGGGTACTTGAGATTCGGATCTGCAAATACCCAGATGTCATGTCACCGATGGATAGATGCTCTAACAGAATGCTGTTTTATGATTGTAGAGGCCCAAAGAGACTGACAGCCCACTGACCCATGAGCCCAACCCAACCCCTCCAGTTATTGAGAGATACCATTCCGAGAAAGAAAGGGAATCTTATTTTGAGAGGAGAACTAACTCTGTTTTCCGAAACCATAAATAACCATATAGAGTAGGAAGAAGATCGATCTCTCCTGCCTGACCTGAATCTCCCTCCTACATAGAATAAACGATGAAGAAAGTGGGGGCGTTGCTCATCATCGGCCTCCACGTCCTGTTGAGAATCCTGGATGAGTGCTACATTAACAAGTTGGGGTTCTTCACAAGACTACTCTTCTTAGTATGCTCAATGCAACTCGTGCTGCTCTTCTTTTTCTGTCTGCCTATAATGACGTTCCTGCTCCTCAAGAAGAAGCAGAACGAAGTCATCCGCCTGCTTGATGATTCAGCAATCAAGAACAGAATCCTCGAGCTGAAGGAGGAGGACTCCTTCTACGCGGGTTTGATCGGTCCTGCTGGGCTAGTTCGCACGGTGAAGAGGATGTGGGCACCACCCATGATGCTGTTTTGGTTCTGTTACATCGTCCTCAAGTTCTGGAAAAACCTGTTCGACCATTTTGACAATTTGACGGAGGGGACGCTGAGAGACCGCACCCTTCGATGCGCGAAAGCATGCCTTCCCACGTTCTTGATTTCTCTGTGTAGAAAGACATTCCAGCTCGTCGAGAAGAAGCGGGACCAAGTTAACCGTCTTCTCGATGATCCAGTTATCAGAGGTAGAGTGCTCGAGTTGAAGGACAAGGACGACGGATACTTGGCGTATTTGATGGAGCCTGCGATCCCGTCTACAATGCTTTTGTTGCAAATTTCACTATCATTCTTATTTTAATTTGTCGTTGGGACTTCCCATTTAATTAGCTACGTGTTTTGGCGACTGTTTAGGATTTTGATTTTTCAGGTTCAGTTATAACTATGTATCTTGTCTTTCAGTTTTGTCAGTTATGAAGAAGAATCCAAATCCCTTTGTGAATGAGATATAAACGAGGTTTCAATCACAATCTGGAGGCGACTTCAAAACCAGATTTGAAACAAAACAACTAAACTAATACACCTGCTATGCCACAGAGAGGAGCTAAGATAAAAGATAACCTTACTCACAGAGTAGAAACAGAGAAGAGATGGAGGAAAAGAAGTTTTTTTTTTAGTACCCTAAGAGTTGTGCCACAACACCTGGAAAAAGCTAGCCAATTAGGTCATCACGACGTCTCAGTTCGGTTTTGTTCCTTCCTTCACTTGGCTCAAAAAAGAGTGTTGTTGGTGTTTTCCCTACTGAACATAGTTATTACTTGGGATTTGCTACTGCTACTGCTGTCTTCCCTTCTTTGTGCAGCAGGAAGGGCACTTGTAATGCTTGATGCTCTCGGCCTTTGCTGGAGTGATCTTGACGCATTTCCCGTGGTACCATCTTTCACAGATATCGCACCCAATCCAGAACTCGTCTGAGTTGTATGTTCCGCCACAAGTCCCACAGATTGTCTCCCCGTGCTCATCTTCTTCATCTCCATAGTTCTCATCCATTAACTTTGAGTTGTTTTTCGCCTGTCCATCCAGTGATCTCTGCGATGCAAAGACGAGCTAAGATGGTCAGATTTGGATGCAAAATGCAAAACAGGAGGAAACGAGAGTGTTTTTGACTAACTTGAGATGATGACAAGAAGAAGCTTTTTACCTTCGCATTGTTCCTAGCTTTACTCCCACTGTCTACACTTGGTTTGTCTTTCACTGGCTTCCTCCCGGTTACAACTTCAAACAGGCTTGGCAGGTCATTTATCATGCTGAATAGCCGCTTCCTGCTCAACCAAAAGCAAGACAATGTTCAACAACAAAGAAAAAAAATCTGGGTTCAACTAGCCAAGACCCTTACTTGTGTATCTATAAATAGAAGACTAATCTGTAAGAGGACAGAAGAAAACACTAAAGGGATTTTACCTCTCGTTACGATTAAGCCGGGCACCAAAGTAGAATGACACTGAGAGCAGCCAACAGTCACTGTGAACTGCAACAAGAGAGAGCCAATCTTTGCGCTGCATCCCATCTCTTGCAAAATTGATACCCAGAGCTGGCTCGGGTAGCTCCGGTGGAACCTCCTCGGCTGGAAGAGTCACCTCCCATAACTCATTTGAGTGTCCATACAAACACAAGTTCTCCTTTTCTGACATTATCAAATGCAAGCCACATTTAGAATCCACCCATTACAAACAAGGAGAACCCACAGAGGGAAAGAAACACCATCACAACTTCAATGCTAAACAAAAACATTCAACATCACAAGCACCAAGTCAAACAATAGCCCAAGCAATCAACCAACCCAACTAAATGTATATTGGTTTCGCCAGCAAGCCCAACCCTATGAAACCACCCAGTTCAGGGATAGAGTCACTGGCTAACTGCAACACAATGTGAAATGTACTGCAACATAAAAGAACCAAAGCTTCACAATTTCACTAAGCATGCTGACCAGAGTAACTGAACGACCACACTGTACAAAGCAACAGGACCCCCAAAAAGGCAAAGAACAAGAATTACACTAATTGCCAAGTCATCAGGTAGCCATAACTAGAGATCCACATCCGCACATGGCCACATTGCGGCTTCCACACTACCAACTACATCTAATCACAAGCATAGTTAGCCAAATACAAGCACAAACAGACAAGGGGAACAAAAGGGGGAAATGAAAAACAGAGGAAAAGAAGTCAACTTTTCTTCATTCCAACTCTTCAGTTTTGGTCAGCGGCTCACCGTCCCAAACAAATCCACACAAAAATCGAAAACCCATCTCTAGGGAAACAAACAGCAACCAACTTTCCCCTCCAGTTCCCCCAACCCAATTCACTCCACACTAAAAGGAAACCTGAAAGCACGGCGAGAGAGAGAAGTTTCACGAACCTGGATCGCATTGCGAGTAGAAATTATCCACATCTGCAAACAGAAACAGCAGAAGAAGAAAGGAAAGGAAAACCAGAAACATAGGAGGGAAGATTGTCAGCACATGCATTGAAGAAGAACATGAAGGGTAGGAGGAAGGGGAGAATAGAAAATTAGGGTTTAGGTGTGGGGTTACCGAAAGTCAGAGCCCGCACGAGGCCGGCGCGGCGGGCGGTGTAGTCCTTGAAGATCTCTTCAACAGTGCGTGGGCTAGAGGAAATGGAAGCCATTAACACGCATATAAAGAAAAGGAAAGCAATTTGTTTCAGATGAAACACCAGGGAAGCAAAAGGAAAGCAGAAAAGTGATGAGAATCGGATCCAAGGGGAAGAGTTGTGGGTCTAGAACTGGGGGAGGAGAAGTTACAGTGGGTAAATCGATGAATACGAGAAAACTGAGAGCACACACAGAGAGAGAAGAGACAAAATCCAGACACAGAGGGGGGCTGCTGTCTGTAGACGGGAAAAGAGAGAGAAAGAAACAGAGCCTAAAAGAGAAGGAGAAGCTGAAGAAGCATCAGAGAGAGATGGGTTGGTTAGTGGGACGGCCAGATTTTGTGCGTGTGAGAGGTTGGATGTTGGAACCTTGGCTTGGCGTTTTTCTAAATACAGCTGGGACTGGGAGCGTCGTATTGGGCTTGACTGTTTGTGTATTTTTCCTTGTTGGGCCTCTGGGATCTCGATTGTTTGGCGTCTATTATATTGGGCTTTTCCACGACTTCCTTTCCTGCTCGTGTTTGGGCTTTTGGAAATGATGACGGGATCCGGGACTCATCAACCTAAACTAAACTAGCTCAACCTTGAGGCATGTTTCATCACACATGGTTACATGAAGATTTCTCAATGTTAATTAGCCTAGCATCATTGGGGGCAATAAGGAATTAACTTGTGTGCCAAGTGTAAGGTGCAAGCACAACAATCCTTAACCATAGAGCCCAAGTCAAGTAGGTACATGGCTTCTCATTGACTGAATGCGAATACAGAAACTACCATTTCATCAAAGACGAAGATGTTTGGATAGCGATGAGGTAATAATATTTTGATGACTGTAGCCAACCTATCCAAGCAGCTAAAAGAAGTTCAGGAAGAATGCCAATTTTGTGGGCTTCGTGAGAGTCATGAACAAATAACCAAGAACTCTTAATAAGTGAATATGTAACTTGGGTAGAGAGACAAAGCCACGTAAAAGAATGATTTGAGATTGAGGAGGAGACGAATTACAAAGAGTGGTTATGTGAAGTTCTTATTAAGGCAATAAATGATGAACTAAGTAGACTCTTAATCGTACAATGGTCATTCTGACGACGCCGAAACAATCATGTGTTCAATAACCCTAAACTAACATAATGGGAAATCATCGAAAAGGGAGGAGGAACCGATCTGCGTGTTGTTATTAGAGATAGTGTTGGCAAATTCTAGATGGCGATGGTTCGAAAAGAAACGATCTCATGACTAGTGAAAATGGCAGAAACGAAAGTACTTTCTTTTGGGTTTGGTCTGGCATAAGAACACAACTTTCGTCCAACAATAATTGAAACTAATTGCTAGATTTTAGTGGAGAGATTGAAGATAGAAAAGATGTCGATACCAGAAATTCTGAGATTTGTATAAATGAAGAACTAAGGGAGGAAATAAAGGAGATGGTAATGTGTCGATTTTGGGGAATGTAGCTCCAAGACCACATAGTAGCCTATGTGATGTATCCTTGGAATGAGGCTGAATGTTACTAGATTTTAGTTATATTCCTCGCATTTACAGCATCTGTAACCACATTAAGCAACCATAGTTGAGTCTTACTTTTGCTAGAGCTAACAACTAACTACAAGGAAGAGCAAGAATTGACACATAGTACAAGAAGCAATACGCAGAATACAGGTACTCTGCTAGCTCCAAGGAACTGGTTCAGAAACCCAGAAAAATATACCAAATACTAGGTTTCCTGGAAAGGAAAATATGAACAGACCCCCTTTTTCCAAGAGCACCTGCCTGATTGGGCGTTACATACCTGGCTAAGACTCAAAAACTATTAGACAAACAGCTATATTAGATCTTAAGATTACAAGATTATACAAGCCCTACGATTTATACGTACATCTATTATAGCTACAAACAAAAATACAGCCTCTTACACAGACCTGGGGGCTGGGGGCATCAGTTGATAATAACTTGTGGAGGAAGGCAACCTCTTGGATTGAGCTCTTCCACATCCGATCTTTCTTCAAGGGCAGCAAGTTTCACAATGTAATCACAACCCAGTTCACCATGCTTCCTCCTGACTTCCTCAAATTTCCGTCCCAGAACCTGCGCTATCCAATCCTCCACCGTCCTCTTCTTATCTGATAAGTACTCCGCAGCTAGCAGCTGCTCCATGACCCTTTGATCAATTTCCAGATCACATTCAGGCGTCACAAATTTGTGGAAGCACTTGTTCATTTCATTTGAGATCCGGGTGGCGAGTGCATTGAAGTCGAAAGACTTGAACATCACTACTCTATCGACCTGACCGAAGAATCCCTGTAACCAAGCCCTGGAAGAATGATCATCACATGCAAAATCATCACTGTCCAAGTGCTCGCCTTCGTTGTCTAACAGGCCATCGTTTTCTTGGTCTGGAAGAAGGTTCAAGTCCAGGCCTTTCCTGGCTGATGCATTGTCATCTGCACGTTTCCTTTTATTCAAGAATGCCGATGAGCTTGAAGAACTGCCATCGCTAGTCACTGACAGACTCAGCTCCCGCCCAAGTTGTTTCTTCTCAATCGATATCAGCAGCGGCCAGCCCTTAGCTTTCAGAACCCTGTCCTCGCGATATGTACTCAAATCTCTCCTAGTGCTGTCATCCTTGACGTTTGAAGTTGTAATGATGATTGCATTATTGATGGGAACTTCTCTCCCATGTGAATCGGAGAACCTCCCTCTTTGAATGGCACGAGACAAGCTGCTCTGAACCTGAACATCAGCTTTGTCGACGTTCTCAAGTAACACAACGGATACGGGCCTCTTACAGAGCTCCCCAGCAACATAATCCACCACGGTTTTCCCCCTCAGCATCGAACCATTTTTACCATCTTGAGGGTTCAAGTTTGCATACACTAAGTTTTCTTTGCTCCCATAAATCATCTCGGCAACTGCAGTTGCAACTTTCCTCTTACGATGCCAGTCAGGTCCAAGAAAACTGAACCATATGTTCTTGCCCCTCAGTCTACCTCCCTCTGGTTTCCCATCTCTAGCCCTGAACTCGGATATGGTTTGGCAGATGGTGAATATTGCATCATCATTTTGCCAGCCGACTCTTTCTGAGAGATCCCGACAAAGATCCTTGAGATTAATGGGCTCACCAGTGGCAGCAGGAGGGGAGCTCAAACGAAGTCCAAGATCTGTAGTCAAAGAAGCAGGAGATGCCTGACTTCCATAACACATGCTTGAATTAGACAATAAACTATGAGGAGATCTGAGAGCGCCGCCTGAATCTTCATTCAAAGGCTTTTCACATTGTTTCGGTGTGATCCTCCAGTTATTGCTAGCATCAGCAGGACTGAGAGGGAGACGGCAACTAGCGGATTCACTTCTCACTATCTGATGTGAATCAATAGCAGCAGATGATGAGTAAGGTTTCGAGTATGTATCTGCCATTGGCCGTGAATATGCCGTTGTACAGCAGCTGTAATCATTTTCAGAAACTTCCCTTTGTGTGTCTTCAGCCAATTGGAAACCCAGAACAGTGGAAAACCGAGTTGGATGAATATCAGAACCCGGTGGTGACTGATGCTGATGAAGGCTGTGGCACATACTATCATGTTTTTCCTGCAGACTGACTGCTCTGCATCTCAATACCTCTCCATCATCTCTGGTCTGCACTGAAGATACACAAAAGCGTTTACGATTCCTTAAAAATACGAATACGTCTACTAAAGTAGGTAGTAAGACTGAAATTACACATGCAATCTAAAATGTAGCAATACATTGCTGATCAGGAGAGCCCACCAATCAGGGATTGTACTCGGATTTGGGTTTAATATAGTTTGGGAAATTATTGCTAACATATAATATCTCAAGTTTCAGACATGGTTTTATGCATTTCTGGGTTGTGTATGAACAGATTTTGGCAAAGTTCATAATCCCATATCTCAATGTCAGGAATTATCAAAACCTTGAAACAAATATTCACCTTCATAAACATTCCCTCCTTTGCTGTGCCAATTTCAGCAGTCTGCAACCATGAACGTTGGCCAGATTGATACTGATCTGGCACCGAGGGAACTGATGATGCTTCTTTCGAAACAGCAACAATCTCTTGCCCATCGCAAGGATGAGAGAGCGTCGCCATATAGTGGTAAGGACTGCTGCCTAAGGGAACCTTGAAATCCGCTGGTGTTGGAAAGAAGCCACCAAATGGAATGAATGACTCCATCAAACTGCAACATAACCAAAACGCTATTAGATTTGTGTGACCAGCGAGAAAAAACGCAGGATAAGTATCCAACAGAAGGCACATCAATAAAGCCTACACCTTTACCACTACACATAAGATGCTATACTTCTCAGAAGTCTCGCAAGAAACCAATAAAGGAACAAATTGCAAGAAGGAAGAAATCTTCAGATGAGCTCACCTGCGTTCACAACTCCCCAACCAGTGAACTTCTGGTAAAAAAGATGTGGCCTAGAGTTTAAAAATATAATATAAGTTTGAGCATTAAAGCTAATATGAGGTGGAAAAAGTTAGCCCAGTTCCTGCAGGTTGTCATCAAACTTGAACTTTTCAGTAAACTGGCCTGTACTGGAAAAGTAGGACTCACCTGAAGTTAACTAAGCAGTGCAAAGTTCAGGAAAGGAACCCTATATACTATCATTAACTAAACAGCTATCTGTCTCCCAGTTGTCTCATAATAGTTCCTAATAATAGATGGTAAGCACGCAAACATGGAAATTCTGATAAAAGACAGAAGAATGAAGTTTAAGTGAAGCATATCATATCAGTCTTTTTTACCTGGACTTAGGATAGGAGGATTCAGCAGCCATGGAAGAAGATGTAGTTATAGGCAAAAGCTGCAAATCCCACTCTTTTACAACCGAAGGGAACCTCGCCACGAACTTGGAATATGTCTCGTAGCTCGCCGCCGCCCCAATCAACCACAGCTTACTATTATCCCGCGACAAGCTGCTCGTCAATTTCTCAACGATATAACTCACTCTTCCATCAGCTCCTCCTTCTTCTTCTTCGTCGACCTTCACAAACGGCTTCAAATCTCCAAAATTGAGAACCAACCCGGGTCCGGAATTTCGGTCCAGCGACCGACCCACTTCCTCGAACCTCGAATCGACGGCTTCCTTATCGGAATTTCGATTGAGAAATTGGGAGATCTCGGTCTCCAACCGAATCACGGCCAACCCGGACAATTCAGGGGGTAAGACGCCGCTGCTGCTATTGTCGTTCTTATCTCTAATCTTCTTCTCCAGTAACTCGATGAAGCTGGCGAGTGTATCGCAAGCGCATACGCCGAGAAGCAGAGGATTCCTCCCCTTGCTTTTCCCGAGAACCTCCCCGATCCTCCGGAAGTTCTCGCTCCCGCCGCCGCTGAAGAACCCGGAAAACCCAGGGAACGGGAAGCTGAATCCCCTCCGACCCGGCCCGGGATCCGAATACGCGGCGGCGGGCGGCGGGGGTCTGAAGTGGAAAGGAGGGAGGACGGTAAGGGGCCTGAACACGGCCAGCTTGATGTCGGGGCTCCGGAACCCGGCATCGGAGAAGACCCGACTCACCACCGGGTCGTCCAATATGGACATAATCAAGTTCCTGAGATCCACCTTGATGCACGAAATCGAAGAAGAAGTTGAAGTCGACTGATTATTCATCTGCTGAGAGGAAACCTGCTGGTGGTGGTGATACAAATGGAAATTCTCCGGCTGCCGCCTCTGGTTCGCCTGAGACCGCTTGATCGCCGCCATGAGCGAATTCGACACCGGCGGGGAAGCCTCGTCTCCATCATCGCCGCCGGCCGCTGCGGCGGCAGATGAGGGAACACGGTCGAGGGAAACCCCCAGGCAGAGGTCGAGCGCCTTGAATTGGAGGCGTGGGGAGTACGCGTTGTTCCTGGCGCGTGAGCAGGCGTCGCGGAGGACGGAGGAAGGATGGGACAGAAGTGCGGAGACGGCATGAAGCGACGTCGTCTGGCTGTGGCGCCTCTTCTTGGCTACCCGTACCGCCTCGTCGAGCGCGTGGGCGGCTTCGGGAGTCAAGCATTGCCTGGCTGTACTCACCGGCGTAGGCATCGCCGGTGGGGAAGAGAGCGGAAAGCTAAAACCAACGAGCTGCTCGTTATTTTGAGCAGGTGGGGAAATTGAAATTCGGTTGGATTAATTAATAATTGATAATGGGTTTTCGAGCAATAAAGAAATGGGAAGATGGGGATAAGAGAAGGAGTTGGAGAAAGACAAAGACAAAGAGCTTGAGATTTTTTTTCTATGGAGGGTTGGGTGGACGGCGGCGGGAGGGGAAGGGTTTTCAGTTTCTTTCTTCAAGGGGAATATTATAATTGAGAAGGGTGGGCGTTGGGGGGGGTTTTAAAGTAAAAGGGATATTGGAGAAGACGGCGGCAGGCGACGGTGGTGGTGGTGGAGGAGACCGAGAGGGCCGGTGGCGTAGATTTGGTATAAAATCATAAGATCTTCGATGACTGTAGAGGAGATAGACAGAGAGAGAGAGGGGTAGATGCTGCTGTCGCGGCCACTTACTTACTTTTGGGTGGGGGCCGGCGGGAAGGCGACAGTCCAATACGATTGGGGAGTGCAGTTCTCCTGCCGCTGATGAACACATCTTTTAGGTTTCCATTGTAGGTAGCTTTTGTTATTTTCTCCAATTTTGGATGAATTAATTTTCTGTTGTGACGAATTTCGGACCATCATAATTCGTATTGTTTGGAAGATAATAAATATATCTATCAGTTCAAATAATCGAGGGAAAAATTGTGAGTCTGAATGTTGGATCGAGTGTTAAATCAACGATGTTACGAGACTATCTTCCTCAGTCTCGAAAGCATGTCGTGGTCATCTATGTATGTCGTCGCTGATCTGAATTGTATATGGGGTTTTTTTTTTCTGGCACATGTTTTGCGGAGGACAAGTTGCTCTAATAAATTTGATGCTTTTGTGTTGTGGGGAACACTGTATTGGAAGGAATGAGTCAAAAGGAAGAACAGGAGAGGAAATGCAAGTGTTGATGGAAAGGAGAGGAAAGGGAAAGGGGAGGAGGGTTTTGGGTTATTATTAATTTGTGAGAGATTGGAGGGGTTGAAAATGAAAAGAACAGAGTGGGGACTTACCCTTCCCACCACCACAAACATCCCATTCTTTCTCTTTACTATTTTATCTATCCCTCCATCCATCACTTGGATGAGTGCAACCCTCCAAATGTTAACTTCAATCCAAATTTTACATTGGGCTAAAGAAAATCAATCGACCATATAAGATCTATTTTTCAATAATTTGAATTACGGGAGGTGGACATGTTATTATAGTTTTTTCGTAGAGAGATATTGTATTTGTATTTCACGATATATGTTGATATCAAATACTATTACATACTGTTTGGTATAAATGAATTTCATGAGTTTTGAGTAATTTATTTTGAAATGAAACATGTTTGTGTTTGTTATTTAAAAGAATTCATTTTCAATTCTAAATTTTGAATTTTATGGAATTGGTATTAGATATAGCAATTCCGAGGAATTGAGATGGAATGTCCAAATGAATTCCACAACTATTTACTAATTATAATAGAATGACATAATTATCCTCTTTATTAACTAAATTACTTATATGTATGACATACCAAACACAGGAATTCATTTGACAATGAATTCTACACGATAATTCATTTTATTTCTAAAGATTTGAATATGACATACCAAACAAAAGATTTCATTTGACAATGAATTCTACACTGTAATTCATTTTAAAATGAAATGAATTCTTGATTCATTTTGTACAAGACGGTCTGTTAGTATAATATTTTCCTTTTTGAAAAAAGTCTACACGAATTTGTTGTCAAACTCCTTCCAAAAGGTCTCGTACTAATTGAGTTTGGTTGGCACTTATAAACAAGAGTCATTCTCTTGTATGTATGGTACTTGGATTATATCATAACAATCTTGTCCCTCAAGGCAAGGACCAAAGACTTGAGACTTCTGCTGACCACCTTATATTGCCAGACTTTTCGACACAAGGAATTATCAGATTATACATATCTTCGTTAATTTTGCCAAATGTTGATCTCAAATCTCAAGGTCGCGGAATAAGACTCTAATACATGTTGTTCAAATTAGATGCTATATGAGTATGATATTGTTAGCTTTGATTCAAGCACGTACGATTTTTTTTTTTTTCTTTTTTTTTTTACTCTTTCCCAAAATGCCTCGTATTAATGAAGTTTGGTGGACACTTTATACAAGATCATTTTCATTTGTATATCTCATGTGTTGCTTGGATTGTATCACAACTCCCAACATCAAGAACAAAATTTAATAAGCACATGATACGGCCGGCGGGTGTATACAAATTTCGAACTAATAGATTATATTTTATTTGAGGAATTTGTGAGTAAATGGTATAAGCTGAATTCTCTTTTTTTTTTTTTTTGCAAAAAATCAAGCTACATTGACCAACTGCTTCTCTACAATTCACCCCTTCCTCTTACTATTTGTCTTTTTTACCGCCATGAATTAAAACTAATAAGAGAAAATTTAACGAGATTGAGTGATTATATTGTTGCACTCTCTTGAAGAAGGCTTCAAGATTGAATTTACCATCTAATCAAGGGTTCCCCTAAACAAGTCAAGAAAAAACTATCACAAATTACATAATTTTCAAACACTTCTCCACGTAATTCCAGTTCGGATTGGATCGAGGGGGGAGCCCCAAAATGTTTGCTATCAAACCAAGACCACATAGTCTACAAGCTTGACTCCTTCCAATCCAATCAAAGTTTTTTATAGGTGTTATTGGTGTCCACGTTAAGTGTCTAACATGAGATTAATTGTATGCCTTCCTTTGAGTTGACATTCATGATATTCTGAAAAACAAAGGTAAAGAATAGTGACAGTGTTAGTATATAGAATAGTTATAGGATTAATTTGTAATGTTTGTTTACTTAAGGTACTGTATTGTAATTTGGTAGAATAGAACTCATATATATTGTAAAGAGAACAATGTAAATTTTACTTTTGGTGAAAAAAGTTGATCGTTTCTCTCTTTCACAACAAACAGACCTAAATAGCAGTCTCTCAACTTCGAAATATAGAGTTGTGCGTAAAGTTTTAGTCTCTTTTATATCATCAAAATTTAAATCAACCCACTCATTCATATTTTTGCATCCACCATCAAAGACCACATCATCTCCCAAATCTACTTCTGCAAGTTTTGATAGCGGCCACGGCCACATAAAGTCATAAACATTTATGTGGGAAATATTAACCACGACGATAGATAGATTGGTGCGAAGACCGAAGAGTGGAGAAATTGGATGGATGCTCCAAAAACCAAAATAGAGAGCTCTTGTGAGTAGGGCTGGACAATTGGTTACTGGTTATCGGTTAATCGACCGGTTATAACCGAAATCAAACGGTTATCTGCTAATCGAAAATCGAGATAATCAAAAACCGGCCGGTATTCAGAGGGATGGCCGAGATGATTTTGGTCTTGGGGGCAGCTCGTTTAACCGAAAACCGAGATAACCGAAATCTTAATACCTCTTTGGGTCGATGGTCGGTAGGTGTGGGAGGTGGTTCGGTTTAACTGATAACCGACCGTTCGGTTTTCGGTTATAACCGAACCGACCGTCTCCACCTCCTACTTGTGAGAGAAGGTCATTTTCAGAGTGCAATACCATGTTATTATGGTGCCCTCTCAGAGGCCCCAAAAGGGGGCAGGCACACACATTCGTGCCCCCACACCACCACTCACAATCATCCATATCGTGTAATTATCATCCTACTACAGCACTACATATTCCCAAAACACCATATTTCAACGATAGGATTCAATTAAGAGTAAATCTACGCACAAAATTTGGTGGCCCGAAAAAAAGTTGCGGAAAGGTAAACTTTGTGATGGAGATGGGACAAGAAAATGAAAGCAAAGAAGAATCATTGCGCCCAGATCTCTCCTAATTTGGAATCCCCCTCCCTCCCTCCCTCTTTACATAAAGCAACCGTATGTTTGTTCCATTTCATTTCTTAATTTCTTCCCCTGTGACACAGGAGAATATAGGTAAATTATCATATTAATACACATCTAAAAGTTAGGCTTTGCGGGTTATCTTTGAGTATCTTCCTACTTTGAGTTATTAGAATAAATGGGAATCGTTGGTCAATTTTCATTCATAAGATATGGACAGGGTCAATCATATTGACCCTTCACAATCGTAACCTCGATCTTTTGGTGATCAAGTCCATTTTATTGTTGTATAAAATCAAACCTACAGCTTTTGTTCATATATGCGTATTTAATTGACTTGTACAGCGATGAGGTTGATCGTTATGAATCATACAGAGATCACCAAATATTGCATCTAATTTGATAAACTTAATTGGTCAAACAATCGTCCAAAATTATCAGTCAAACTCAAAACGTTCGCCCCACTCGCTATGCCAAGTGGATTGACCCGACCCACTATGTTCCTAGAAAACTCTAAAATTCGGACGCCATATCAAGGTAGTCGTCGGGGGCCAACTAGGCACTTCAAAAACTCACCTCACATCGTCTCTTATCAAAGGTGTTGGCTTCTCGCCGATCTGCTCCCCTTATTTTAGGTTGGTTCTTGATCAAAAGTCATCTCTTAATGATGAGATTAACGTAAAAGAAGAAATCATCTATCCGTTTTACTGATTGATTTTCAATTTGACGATCCCAATCCCAAATTTCAAGATCAACATCTTCTTCTCCCAAATACCCATAAACAAAATAATGACAAATTATGCTTGTGCCACCTGAACTGATATAACATGTATGTTGGTCACCTTTACTCCCACGATAATGTATAAGCAAATCGGTAGGTGTGTGGGCGTCTTAATTGGCATTGTCACTCAAAAAGAAATCGTACAATAATGTAAGGGAAAAGTAAAATTGCAAATCTATCTTCCTTTTGTAATGGCTGAGGACTGAGGAGTCGACGAGGGAACAGAGAAAGTTTCACCCTGAAGTGACCTAGGCTCAAGCATAAATAAACATGTCTATCAAGGCAAGAGAAGCCTATCTTTCGATCTATCTACCTAGCAAAAATATGCTCTTTTTCTTTCCATCTCTTTTCTTTCCACTTTAAAATATGTGCACAAAGTTTTCTGTACGCACTGAAAGCAACACATGAGAGTTCCCTTTCGTGGTTTAATCTTTTCGTGGCAATATACTCACCAAGCTTTTGCAAAGAGGAATATATGTACATCTAGTGTGTGTGTGTGTTATCGTCAACCTCTTTGTCCAAATCCAACCTATATGAAGACGTTAACAGGAGAATTAGTGCTTGCTGCAGCTGGCTCTAGCTAGGAATTATGGAAGTCAAGTCCACGGTGGTTTATGCATAACGTTAGCATTTTCACACTACTTTCTAAGTCAACTCTCATGGAGTTACTTGTACTCCATTTGTTCATATATTCTTGGAAGGGCAGGTCGACGGGGTTTAAATGTGTGTTGAGAAACGAGTCAATATATTCTTTCTTTCTTAATTCATTAATTATTTTCGTTCTCAAACTTAGAATATGAAATACAAATAGTTTCACCGTAAGAAAAGAAAATGGTCATATTTTACATTTTATTTTATCCT